AGAATGCCTTGTTGCATTAAGTCCGCTTATTTACATATACATACATACATAAACACTCACGCCTGCCACCCAGAGGGGTAGGCAGAGACTACAGACTTCCATTTGGCACGATCCTGACACACCTCTCTTGCCTCCTTCACATCCATACACCTACGCATACATGCTCGTCGGTTAAGGGTACTCCTAATTTGGCCAGTTTTCAATAAATCCCATTTGTCGATAAATTTTCGCCTAGGACGTCCCTTTCCAACTCTGCCATTCACTTCTGCACCATAAATTTTCTTTGTCACTCTTTCCTCATTCATTCTTTCCACATGACCAAACCACCGAATCATTCCTTTCTTAATCCTAGTCACAACATCATCTTGCAGACCACACTCTTCTCTTATTACACAATTTCTTACCATGTCATTCCGATTCAGCCCTAACATACTCCTTAACGACCGCATTTCTACTGCGTTTATTCTACTCTCGTGCTTCTTCTGCCACACCCAACTTTCACTACCATACGTTAAAGTAGGGACCAACACAGCATTGTGAATTGCCATACATGCCTTTTTCGACACATTTTGACTCTTCACAATAGAGTGGGCAAGGCACAAGGCCCCATTTACTCTATTTCCCGCATTCACTCGTCGTTCTATATCCTTATCATATCTCCCATCCCTGCTAAATACGCAGCCCAAATATACAAACTCATCTACTTGCTCGAACAACTCCCCTTCTATTCTTATTTCACAAATCGTTTTACTTTCTTCTCTTTCAAAAACCGTAACCTTCGTCTTACTTGCGTTCACTTTCATTCCCCTTTCTTTTAATGATCCGTTCATTAATGTAACCATCATTTGCAACTCGGCCGCCGACGACGCAAGAATAACTTGATCATCGGCGTACAAAAGGCATTTGACAGTTAACTCACCCATTCTTAATCCGCATTCTTCAACTTTCAAATTTTGCAAACAACTGTCCATAAATAGGTTGAACAGCCACGGGGAAGCCACACAGCCCTGTCTGACACCTTTATGGATGTCAAACCAGTCCGAGTAGACCCCGTTGATCCTAACACAAGCACTAGAGTTATAAAGAGACTCCAATGCCTGTATCAAGCCAGCGCTCAACCCAAATGAGTTCAGTGTTTGCCATAGCAAATCCCTATCCACTCTGTCATAGGCCTTTTCCAAGTCCATGAACGCACAAAAAACCTTTTGGTTTTTGGCCAGAAACTTCTCCGCGATCATGCGCATGGAAAATACTTGATCTGTACATCCCATTCCCTTTCTAAATCCCGCTTGCACTTCCCAAATTTGTCCATCAGTTTCTTTCACGACCCTTTCAATCAGTTTTCCCACAATGCTAAGAAGGCTGATGCCACGGTAGTTTTTACAGTCCTGCTGCGACCCTCTTCCTTTATATACTGGGACTATCACGGCTTTGCACCAGTCTACCGGTACCCGCTTCAGTTCCCAGCATAAATTAAACAAGGTGTGCAGCAGGCCTTGCCACCACTTCCTCTCCAGCCCTTAGCATTTCGAGTGAAACTCTATCATATCCGGCAGCCTTACCTGCTTTCATGCTTTTCATTGCTTTCATTATATCATCTATACTTATCTCGCTACCTCTTTCCTCTTCTTTCGGTGTTTCTACTTCACTTAGTACACACGTTGTCTCCTCACTCATAAACACACTTTCAAAATATTCCTTCCATCTCTTTAAACTCAAAACTTCATCATTCAGAATATAGCCATTCTCGTCTCTTATAGCATTCATCATAGGCTGTTTTGAATGTCCCCTGGCAGTTCTTACAAGTTTCCAGAACATTTTAATATTTGCCTGGAAGTTATCCCATATTCTTCTATCATTCTTATCCGTTCTTTCTTGCTTTTTTCTTTCAACTACTTCTTTTACTCTCTTATTAAGATGCCTAAAGATTGCCTTTTTTCTTTAAATATCACCATTCGTACCACTAGAATTAGCAGCCTTTGTTGCTAGTAAATCTAGCCATGCTCTCTTCTTTGCTTCAACTTCCATATGTATCTCATCATCCCACCATAACATATTATTTTTCCTTTCATTCTTTCTCTTACTAACACCACATACTTCGGTAGCTGCATCCACTAAACTTTTCTTTACATTTTGCCATATATTCTCCAAGTCTAACTCCTTCATACATAATTCATCCAAACCACTTATATTTTCTTTCAGTCTACATTTGAACTTGTTTTTATCACTTTCATCTTGTAAACTTTCTGTTCTAATACGCTGTAACTCAGTGGTAGACACAGACGATCGATGGCGCCAACGCCTGAATAGACCATTAATTCGGCATAAAACTAAATAATGATCCGTTCCTACGTTAGAACCCCGGTAAACTCTCGTATCTACCACTGCGCCCCTCAATCTTTCATCCACAATTATGAAATCTATCATGCTTCTATCGTCACCTCTTTCCCAAGTATACATGTGAATCCTCTTGTGGTGAAAGCAAGTGTTCGTCACAAAAAGATTCTTTTCCATACATACGGTGAGGAGACTTTCACCATTCTCATTTATACTTTCATCACCAAACGTTCCCAATATCCTTTCATAACCAAGCCTCCTGACCCCAACCCTTCCATTAAAATCCCCTAGCATAATAATATTTTCATTTCCCTTACACTTCATTAACACCATCCTTACCATTTCCCAAAACTGCTCTCGGATATAAGTGGGCTTAGACATGTCTGGGGCGTAGACCCCTAACACAAACAACTTCTTTAAGCCCACTTTCATTCGTATCCATAGCAGTCTTGGGCTTACACATTCATACTCTTTCACACATTGGCCCATTCTTTCTGAAAGGATGATACCTACTCCCTGGCATGCCCGCTCGATCTCGTCTACACCAGACCAGTATGCGGTATACATGCCATGTGTAGTGACATCCTTCCCCTTCCTTTTCGTCTCATTTACGCATAACACATCTATTCCTCTATCATACATCATATCGCATACTTCATCCATTTTATCATTCATTGCCCCACATACATTCAACGTAGCCAGACGGGCCTCTGCAATCCACTTTTCGCCTAATAAATAAATATTAGGCGAAAAGTGGATTGCAGATATAATAAATAAATAAATTTTTATATAAGTTACATTAATATCAGGAACATGCTACTGCTCGGAACCGGTTTCATTTCTCTGTCACTTCTCACGACAGCAACAGGATAATAATATAGAAGCTTCTCTTAAGCTAACATCACATGGCTAAAAGTGTTTTTAAAAGCGCTCAAATTTTACAGATTGGTGATGGAAAGCAATGTTACCAGTGCAAGGGTAAATCAGCTCTGCACTTACCAACCAGCCTCTCCAGTGTGTTGATGTGAGCAAATCTTCCAACTAGCAATGGAGACACATTCTTGTAAAGGCCTCTGTCCAACGGTGGCCTTTGAAATTTTGTTGATGTAACATAATGTGTTTTGGCTTCAGCTGTATTAAATTTACAACCTAAAACTTGTTGGTCAGGCACTAGGTACAAAGCCATATGGCCTTCTTAATACAGAATTATGGACTGTATGGTTGAGGCCTTAAAGTTTTGTAGGATGTACAATTGGTAAAATTAAAAATTTCCTTCAACTGACTTCAATATAAATAAAATGAGAATATCATCAATGTATTCAAAGACAACAAAATAAGCATTATTAAAGATAACTCAACTACTGGACGGTTCTTGATCGAATTTATATGGGACCATGTGAGAAGCACCAGCTTTTTTTCAATTGGTTCAGGTGTCTTCTAGTATCAATAATCTGTTAACATACATTAAAAAATCCTACAAATTGAAAACCCACTCCTTTTTTGAAAATAAATATCAACACAAAGCAACTTAAATAAGTTCATTATCATCATTACAGCCCTTCACAAGTACACAGCCGAACATAGGTGTTCTTCGTAGAATGCAACAAAACAGTCCTGAGCTACCTGTATATCTTACCAGTCATTATAAGTTGTCATTCAATATAGTGTAGGGAATAAAATAGTTAAATAGGTTGATGATTTATAAACATAAAGGATAAAGAGACCTGCAGCATACTTAGAAAGATACTTATGTAATGACATGAGCACATTTTACAATGCGCCTTAGAATACCAATGTTAATAAATTAGAAATAACTACTCTTGAACTAAATGAGAACACCAGTGACTTCATTGTACACTTGCGGATTACCTCAATGAGGTAATCCTCATGTTTACAATTATAATATAAATTTATACAGCACAAGGATTCTTTTAGTTGTAGCTAGTTTTTGTTGCTTCTACCGAGGCATTGTATGCTAATTTAGCGTCAGTGTTTTTTGATGATTGTACTATTGTTTCTGTTAATAGTGACAGAACATCAAATTAGTACATTACTACTTGTACTTGTTTGACTTTCTGTAACTTAGTGAACAGTAATATATTACAAATTGTAATTTTAGTTAAATTATAAATTTACATTAAGTACATACACTTAAATGAAAACAAAACTCGCATACTGTTTTTATTTTATTTTTATTTTTGATAAATTAAAATTCTTAATTATATTTGAAAGTTAATACTATGATGAAGATTTTGTAGCAGTTAAATTTATGGTTAGGACAACCATAAATTTCACCTTACAATTCAACTTCTTTATATGTATGGTTAGGACAACCATAAATTAAAAAAAATTGCAATCAGATGAAATTTTTAGACAAACATAATAGCATTCAAATGGAAACAGAGCATGTAGAAAACGAATTTGCGTCTTAACTTTGAAATATGATAATTTGAGTTTTTTTTTTCATATATCGTTAATATATTTGAAGTTTTGCAGAATCTTTTTAAAGCAATATCTTATCACAATCAACGCAATGTGACCTAATCTTCCGCTATCTTGAGCGTAAGCGACAATTCACGTCTCACAAGCCTTCGTGGCAAAAGCTCTAACATAGACTTAGATACTCGTAATTATTAAACGTAAACGCATTATGTTTTACTCACCGGTAGTATACTTTATAATTATATGAACAGCAATCCGTAATCCAATAAAAATGATCACTTTTATCCTATTACTTCAAATCAAAGGACACAACAAACATTCTTTTATACAACAGCACAAATAATTTAGTCAAATAAAGATACACAAATACGCACAAACTGTTTTCGGAATTAATTCAATTCACACAAAACCAGATAACTACAGTATCGAATGAAACTTGGTAATTTTTTACACTAACTTTCAGTAACGCTCACTCACATCCACTCTAAGCGACTGACGGCCATAACTAAAAGTGTTGCCACTTTTAGAAAGTCACGTTATTTCTGACCTCATGTATTGCCAATAAGCTAATCAATATTTGCTGATTTTTTTTAATTAAACACTTTTTTATAGCAAGAACGCTTATCAAAATAATTTTTTAAGTTATTATTAGATAAAGTCAATATAGTAGAGTCTGCGCTGCGCTTTGCTCCTGTCACAGTCTTCTAAACCATCACAACTGAAAGGATTTCTGGGTGTAAAGTTTATAATTATCATTTCTTCGGTGTTTGTAAACATAATTTATTATGAGAGCATAAACCACAGAAGAATAAAAATACCATAGAAGTATAATAATGTGACACTTGTCTTTGACCAAAATTTAAAAGAATAATTTTTAGGTTATACATATCTTTATGACTTTTAAACATATTTAGAAAAAATGTTTAATTGTTCTAAGAACTGAACTGAACAAGATTCACCAATCTTAAGCTCACAAAACACTTTTTTTTCTCACTTAAACCAACTTGTAAACTCCTTAGATCGCTACGAACTGTCAAAGTTGTTTAGCAAAGTGTAGTTTGCTAAACAAAAAAACCGGCACGGAAAAAGGGACAAACAATCACACCGCTCTGTCCCATTTCTATGTAAGACATATGCATAAATCTATCTCTTTCGTGTGCGAATGCGAAAGAAGGCGTCAATTTGTCTATAGATTTCTCTGTCTACGTCTTTGACATAGTTTACGTCCTTGTCGCACTTACACAAAATTATGTATATTATCCAGTTTTTACAGTAATATGTCATTCGCTTTACCATGTTTCCCCATTTTTAGGTTATAATATTTGTTTCTTTTTTCATGAAATACTAAACGTCCAGACCAAATCTTTACCAAAACCTTACTCCTCCAAATTTCTACTATTTGTTTCTAGTTACTAATTGATTTTTAATCCAACCCGCTTAGTGCCCGTTTAACTCTTAACTCTTTCATTTTTTACACCATTTTTCACATTTATGTTTTTGGTGGGTTATCAATTAATTTAAAAATCCTTTTATTAATCTTTTCCGATACTTTACATCCAACAGTTTTCTTTTAATTTGAGCTGAGAATTAAATGTAAATACTTTTATTTGTGCGGGTAGTTCAAGTACAGAACTTAGAGCTTTGGAGTCTTAAGTTTTCAGATGTTCTGCTTTGGCATACTGATGATCTATCTTGACTCCAAATTTTAAGTTTCTAAGTAACCTAAAAGTTACATAAGTTTTGATAAATGATTCTATGAGTGATAAAATGGCCCTATTCAGATGTTAATAACTCAAGAACTACAATAGGCTAATTAATGCAATTTGAGTTTCTAGGTAGGTATTTAAGACTACTTTGTTAGGTGTGCAAAATAACAAATGTGTAACATTTGACTGACACGCTGCCGTATGTATAAATACTTTGTTCAAATCATAATGAAGATCTTTTTACGTACTACAAGCCAGTGGTTGATTAAAACTGAATGAAATTTAATTACGTCCCGTTTTATAAATTCTCCTGTTAGACTGCTTGTTGTGTCAAATAAAGGTAAAAATTGTATTTACCAAAACTATCGGTAATAAATTAAGGTGTAGCAACACTACAAAATTTGTAATGTAGTGAGTGTATTACCAGAAATAAATATTGTATCTTTTATTTAATATAATGGCAAACACTATTTTTAACATTATAAACAGATTCATTTGGGTTTTATCATGAAAGCATGGAGGTTGGAGAACAGGACATAGAGTAGAGTAAGTAATATATACAGAAAGAACAGGAGAACGATCGTTGTAGAAAATAGTGTCCCAGAAATATGTACAAAATAAGTAAGGCGCTGCGGTCACTAAGTTGTCTCAATAAAAGCGGGCTGTTGTGCGCTAGCATGGAGGTTAAGAACAGGAGAACGATCGCCACGTACTAGAGCAATGCCCGCCTGTCCTTGAAAACTGTAGAATTTACAGCGGCGCTGTCGTTGGTGAGTAGTGACTGCGAAGTTAGCTGTTTATGAGTACAAGTAGATGAAGTTAGTTGTATAATGTACAAATTTTCTTCACGGCATTGGTGAGAAATTTTTCATGCTCCGTAATTTTGTAATTTATGACAAAAAGAAACATTAAAAAATGGAGAAATATTTTATTATGCGTGGATATGCAAGTGGTTTAGCGTCTGATCGAAAAATAGACTGAAAATGACTTTTATTGACCGAACTTAGCGATCGCAGCGCCTCACTTATGGTGTCCATATTTCTGGGACACTGCCTTCTACGGCGATCTTTCTCCCGTTCTCTAACCTCTATGTGCGCTAGTTTGAAATGATTATATCATTCAAAGAAAAGAAAAAAAAAACGAAATTATTATTGTTTATTAATAAATATATTATAAATTATATTTTTTTAAATTTTAGCTATTATAAATTATTACAAATACAAATTATTTATTATTATGACCTTTTTATATTATTTCACCATTTTTAATGTTTCTTTTTGTCAATTATTAAAAAATTACTTCGCAGATACTACAAATTTTCAGGGACAGGGGACTATGCTTTAGCACGTAGCCATCGTTCTCCTGTTCTTTAACCTCACTGTTGTCTGTAACTTTAGTTTAGCCCCTTATTTAACTTTTAGAACAACCACAGGCACTCCCCGGATGCGATTCTTTAATGACGTCACGAAGCGGTAAATCAATGCGCAAGGTAACTTTATTTTAATTATGTAACAAAACTGTACCTAGTACTGTACCTCTCTCAATCTTGAAATTAATTTAGAGCGACTGTTTCAGCATATTGTAAAAGTAAAAGTAAAGTTACAGCCTATATACGTCCCACTGCTGGGCTCAGGCCTCCCCTCATTTCTGAGAGTTTAGGGCAAGAAGTGTCCGCCGCGCTGCCCAAATGCGTGTTGACGAACTTCACATGTCTTCGAAATATTTTTCTTATTCCTCAGACATGCAGGTTTCCTCACGATGTTTTCCTTCACCGCCGAGCACGTGGTAAATCAGCACTTAAAATTGCAATTAACAATTTCATTGGTGCCGGCGGGGATCGAACCCGGGTTACTCTCGCGTTCTGTTATATTTACAGCGAGCGTTAACCACTGAGCTACCACGGCTCCAGCATATTGTACCAAACGAAAATTCTGTAAGGAACGTTTGTGTAAATAGCGGAAATAACCAATGGTATGCCACATAACAAGTTACAAACATACAATTTAAAAAAACGTAAAACGTTCATGAAACTAGAGGGAATAAAATAATTTCACGTTTTATAGGCGGTGTTAACTGTTAAGACGTATTACGTTAATGAATTAAAGGCTTTTATTTTTATCAAAAGTAATTTTTTACTCTTTTGTGTGGAATAAGGAATATTACAATCTCAATTTCGTTTAAGAAATAGTTCTGTTAAAAACTTCACCCCTATTTTGCCTCTCTTAGGGGTGGAATTTTTCACCATATTTATATGGGACTACATTGGAAATATAGCCAATTATTAAATAGGATATATTTCCAGTATTTTTATTTAAAAAAAGCATTCATATGAGCGAATTGTTAACCTCATCCTCTATTTTGAAGTGGACAAAAATTTCAATTATAAAGATACTTTATACAGGAATGTAAATAATAAATAAAAAAGAAGAAGTAGGCAATATTGTATTTAATCATAACAATTCCTCCGTAACTTAACAGTTTACAACAAACATTTTCATAAAATCTATATAATTTAAAAATATGGTTAGAAAAAGAATAATACCGACATTTTCGTCGAAGTTGGTTAACAAAATCCATTGATTTAAAAAAAGGGGTATTTGTGTGGTACAGTCGAGAAATATTTATTTCAAGTAAACATATTAAAATTAATATTTGCAACATACAATTCTTCGGACAGTGGTTAAGAGTACATTATTGTAAAATAATTGTTTTATACATTAAGATAATTGAGGTTACAGCAACAATTATTACATAATATACAAAGACAACAAGCGAGTGTGAAGCGAATATATTATATTTTATTCCGCAAATATTACATATTTTATTTTCTCATCGGTGCACAATCCCATAATCCTATTAAATAACAATTACATTGAGACAAAAATCTGTACGTGTTAAAGTTTCACTGGCTATATAAAATAATGCTGGCTACACACGAATAATCCAACCCTCCATCACTCTGTGTAGAGGTTTATGCTAGTTAGAAAGTTCAGCCGAATCTGCCAAACGTTTGGTCTTGACTGGCCTTTGTTTTGATCTTCAAAAAGGTTACTTTTTTGTCGTTTTTAATCAATCAAATTAGTTGGAGGGTTAGGCCATCATATTTCTATTCTATATGATGGCCTGACAGAGAGTTAGTGCTGACAAATACCATATTAACATTTCGACCGTTATTAGCTTTCTGGTAAATTTGTTGAAAACTTTATTATCATTCACTTTTATCACAAATAGTTTTTTTATTGTGTGTGATAATGATAAAAGATTACTAGTTAAAATGCGAAATTACACCCAACGCAACATTTGCATAAACTTTGTCAATGATATTAAAGTTTTCAGTTAAATGTGTAATTTTAACAAATTTGTCTTTAAATTTTTTTGATGTCACAAAATTATAAAACTATTTACAACCCTTGTTTTACATACTTATATATTAAAATGATAATGTTACACGCAATTTTTCCAAAAACATTTACAGCTTGATTATAAATTCAATCTAAAAGCCGATGAAAATAGTATTTAGGAAGAACGTAATTGCAAAATTTTTTTTGGCACCAAAAGACGTCATGAAACAGGTTTGCTGTAGAAGTTCTCGGTGTAAAAAGTTTAAATTATTATGAGAATGTATGATTATTACAAAATCAGAAACAGACATCTGAGCGTAAACATATTAAATATTTTACATTATTTTCTTAGCTGAAAATCCATCGTGTTAAATGATGTAGATAATAATTTAAAAATAATTATTATTATCTCTATAACATCGAACTTTCAGTCTCATCAGGCATTTGGAAGATCCATACCTGACGTCTATGAATGCGATATTTTGTTGTATAAACATTAGTTATTCAATATATAATATATATTGAAGAGCCATACATTGAATTGATTTTAATATGCCTGTGATAAAATATGTACAAGTCTTTAACGCATAAAAAACATTTTAGGAACTCATATACGACTCATTAATATTACCTACAGACATATTTATTTTGCTTCTCTATTTATAAAGACGAAATAATAAAATAGATTCTAAAACAAATTAGAAAAACTGGTTTTTAAATTAAAAATATCTATTTGATTTGATTCATAAATAAATATTTGCAGTATTTATGTTAACACGTTAATGTCTAATGTGATGTTGACAATTTCTTAATAGAAATCTTCATTTTTCAATGGATTTGAGTTTTTTGAGATCTTTTCTAACATTTGAGTTGGTTCATTTCGTAACTTCAATATTTGAAATATCCATATAAATTCCTTTTTGATTTCAGCTTTTGCTGGTGCTACTTTCTTGATATGCCAAAGGAAGACTCCACGACACCAAAAATCTACATCATTTTATAAATTACCATTATAGTAAATTTAGGATTAAAAATGTATTCAATGCTTTTTTGTTTATTTTAGCCTTTAGCCTACTATGAAAAAAATGAAGATTGGATTAATTCAAAAATTCAATAAGTTCTCACGGAATTTGTACAAACTATATTCATACATATAATCAATAACACCACCAAATCGTCTGGTGCTAACTGGAATCGCTAATTTGACTATAAAAGCATATCTAGTAATGAACTTTTAGCGATTAATAAAGGCAAAAACGTAAGAATCAAACAATTATAAACCTTTTTATTAAAGATTTATTCCATAACCCTTTCAGAACTGGCCCTACGTGATTGTGTGGTTTACTAGATTCAATTTTGTTCAAAAACTATTTATTCTATACGAACGGGCTCGATCTCACACGACTGCGCGTGAGCCGAACTTTTACCTTGTGTGTGAATTTCGCGCGTCGGCAGTGTTGCGATCGATACGGCAATTGCCGCAATATACGGCATTCCACGATTTTTTTAAAGATTATACGGCATACGGCAGGCTTTTCATTGCCGTATCAAGTATTACGGCAATTCAGCTTTGCGATAAACCACGATGGCAAATTATGAACAAAAAATATAAATACCTGTATTGATATCCATATTTTTTTCACTTTCGTCATCCCTTAAGTGATAATAAAGAGTGTGGTTGTCTATGACGGGAAATTACCGTTCCATCTTTTATTTTATGAGACTAACAAAGATGGCATGAACATGACACATGGTAGACATTGATAGAAGTAATGAACGTAAGAGATACACATATTTACTTTGTTTATATTATTGAATGAATGTACAACATTATGAACTATAAGATGTGTACGGTACTTTTGTAGTATTTTTTTTTTTTTTTTTTTTTTTTTATAGAAGAGGGGGGCAAACGAGCATGTGGCTCACCTGATGTTAAGTGACTACCGCCGCCCATGATCAACCGCAACACCAGGGGAATTGCAGGTGCGTTGCCGGCCCTTTAGAAAGGAGTAAGCTCTTTTCTTGAAGGTCCCCAGGTCGTATCGGTCCGGAAAAATCACCGGTGGTAAATTATTCCACAGAGAGGTTGTACGCGGAAGAAAACTCTTTTTGAAACGTACAGTGGTGGACCGCCAAGCATCCAGATGGTGTGGATGGTATCGGGACGTTTGCCGTGTAGTGCGTTCACGAAATTTGGCGGCTGGGATTAATCCGAACAATTCCTCAGAGCACTCCCCGTGATAGATGCGATAAAATACGCAAAGAGATGCAACATCTCTTCGCAGCGCCAGTGAGTCGAGCCGATCGGAAAGCACTCGGTCGTCGACGATTCGAGCCGCTCTGCGCTGGATGCGGTCAAGTGGAAGGAGCTGGTACTGGGGAGCCCCAGCCCAGAGATGGGAACAGTATTCCATGAGCGGCCGAACCTGCGCCTTGTAAAGTTGCAGGCGGTGTGCCGGCATGAAATACTGTCCCGCTCTGCTGAGCACGCCAAGCTTTTTAGAGGCCAATTTGGCCTTCCCTTCCAAGTGACCACGAAACTGCACGTCACTCGATATGTCGACGCCGAGGATTCCGATACTGGCTGAGGCAACAAGGGGAGTGCCTTGAAACTGAGGGGATACGACAAAGGGGTTCTTTTTAGCGGTTAACGCGCAAACTTGTGTCTTCTGGGGGTTAAACTGGACTAGATTTAGTCGCCCCCAATCCGAGACTCTGTCCAGCAGAGACTCGACTTCAGACACAAGTTTGTCCCGGCACTCAGAGACGTTTTCCCGAGAAACATTGGCTCGGCCGGTGTAAAGAGCATCACCAGTGCTGTCATCTGCATAGCAATGAATGCTACGGGTTTGCAACATATCATTGATATGCAGAAGAAACAGCGTTGGCGATAGCACGCAGCCCTGTGGAACACCAGCATTAATAAGCTTGCAATCGGAGCTTGCACCGTCTACAACGACCTTGATGCTCCGATCTGCAAGAAAACTGGTGATCCAATCGCACAATTTCTCGGGAAGCCCATAGGAAGGGAGCTTCGAAAGAAGCGCTTTGTGCCAAACCCGATCGAAGGCCTTCGCAATGTCCAAACTAACGGCCAATGCCTCCCCCTTGGACTCTACTGCCTCCGCCCATCTGTGAGTTAGGTAGACCAGAAGATCACCAGCTGACCTACCACGGCGAAAACCGTATTGGCGGTCACTAATCAGCTGGTGATCCTCAAGGTACCTCATGAGCTGGCAGTTTACAATGGACTCCATTGTTTTGGAGAACAAGGAGGTGATGGCGATAGGCCGGTAGTTGGACGGGTCTGAGCGGTCGCCTTTTTTTAGGGATCGGGTGGACGAAAGCCGTCTTCCATGATTTTGGGACTACGCCTAGGGAGTAGGAGTACCGGAAAAGACGCGTTAAAACCGGTGCCAACTCTGGAGCACACGTCCTCAGCACAATTGGGGGGATTCCATCAGGCCCACTCGACTTATAGATGTCCAGGGAGAGGAGTGCTTTGCGAACCGAGCGCTGAGTGAACTGCACTTCCGGCATGGAGCACTCACACCGCGGGATGGTCGGCGGCGTACTACCCCCGTCATCGAGAGTCGAGTTAGATGCAAAGAAAGAGCCTAGAAGATCGGCTTTCTCCTTTGCGGTGTGGGCCAGTGAGTCGTCCTCCCTGTGCAGAGATGGAAGAGATGGCTGACAGAAATTCCCCTGGACACACAGAAATTACTCTGGCAGTAAATTAAACTTGGATCCAATTTGGCTTTGTTGGAATGGCTGCACTTTCTACAAAAAGCTTAAACTCTTACTTCAAAACACACGAAAAGGACAAAGACGTCATAGTTGTTTTCCGTCATTGTCGCCACTTGCCCAGCAATTGCCACGAATTGTGAGAGAATCAGATAAGCAACGAATTGATGATGAGTGGAGGTTGCTACCAAATGTAAACAAAATTTCAGAATTAGAAATGAAAACATGAATTTTGGGCAAATGTCCAAGATATTACAGACTGCAAAATATTAGCAAATTTTGCTTTAGACGTATCATGTCTATCTACAACATAGCAATGCAAATTGCGAAAGAGTTTTCAGTGAAGTAATGTACATGAAAACAAAATCCAGAAATATATTGATAACATCCACTGTCAACGAAGCTATATTAGCAAGACAAGCGGTTAAAAATCAAGGAGGTTGTACGAAATTATCAAATGATATGTGTAAGAAAATGAAAAGCAAAGAAAAATATTAATTACATAGACAAACGAGTGATGTTTTCAATCAATCAGAAACCTATATGGTGAAGAAATTTCAGATTTTATGTGATTTATTTAATTATTCGTAGAAATAAATACTTTACGGCAATTTCGTGGATTTTTTTCATAAATACGGCAATTTTCGTTTTTAGACACGGCAACTCAATTTTTTACAGTCGCAACGCTGCACGTCGGTCAGTTGGCCAGCAGGCAGCGACCTGCCTAGTACTGCGATTTTTTTAGGTCCCGGCTTTGGTGAATGTAAGTAGAATTACATAAGTATTTCTTAGTTATTTATAAAATTTTTTTGCACATAACATCACTTAAATGTTTTTTTCACCGACTTTTGTGATTTTTTACACTGTAATTGGTAAATAAGCTTCAGTGACGAGTTACCGAACTTTTTTGACACAATCGTACGAAGTGGGGCTATCTCTTATCGACCCTAGACTCTAAGAGGTGTTTTCTTTATTTTGCAGATTTTTACAATAATGGCACGGTTCTTACACGACGATCAGATTGAGGGATTCCTAAATGGCTCCGGGGATGAGGGTATTGATGATGAAGAGCAGCAGGACATGCCTTTTACAGGCCTAGAAACTAGTATTCTTTTCCCATCTTTTTTCAAGTCTCAGTCTTCAAGTAGCAGCGATGAAGACGTGCCACTGTCAAATTTACGATGGAAGAAGAAGAAATTTCATGGTAAACCGATACCAGGGGTCTCAGACCCTAACGCAGTATTAACTCCAGCGCAATACTTTGAACGCTACTTCACGCTGGAACAGTTTGCGCTAGCCACTAATCAGTATTATATGACTGAAACTGGACATCAGTTGAAGCCCGTTTGTACTTCTGGGGAAATCAAAAAGTTTTTTTGCATCCACGGTTTAATGGGGTGCTTTAGTTATCCAAGAATCAAATTGTTTTGGAACCAGCGTTATAAGTTCGACCCCATAGCAAGTGCTATGTCGAGAGATAGATTTTTCTCCTCAGGGTAAACCTGCATGTTCTAAACGTTCATGCTATAAATATAATATTTATAAACATAACTTGTAATAAAGTAATAAAACTAGATGCCTCCACACGTCAGCTTCGGAGCGCACTCCGTGGCGTTCCGAACCACGCATATGAGCGAATTCCGAAGCGGCGATTTAACGCGCGCTCTAATTAATTATGTAACGAAGACTTCTAAGTACACTACTAAATGGGCAATCCAGAACAAAAAATTCAACAGCTGTGGACCGTGCGGGCGCGGGGTTCGGGGAGCGGATAGCTGGCATGGTAAATATGCCACGCAGTTGTATTTCATTTACGACAGTTATAGATTTAAAAAAAAATACGAAATATCATATCTGAAATAAACTTCAAATCACGTTGACAAAGTGCACACAGAATAGTGACAGCGTTTTCTTAGTCACATTAAACAAAATGGGTGTTATATGGTCGAAAACAACGTTCGCGGTTTACATAACAAAGAACTATTCTTCTCGCCTGCTTGCAGTCGACTAAAGGAGTTACGGAGAATTGAACGTAACTTAGTGCACAATGTATTAGTATCGTAGGAGTAGTGGTCGTCTAGTAGTATACACATACGTCTTTGTATAAAAAGAAGTTGTTAGCCGCAAAAGAACGAGTGCCAAAAAACCTCCGAAAGATAAAAGGAAACAAAAGCTTTATAGATATAACAGGCTTGTAGGCAATAAGACATCATACGAATGGGAAAAGCATGCTTATTATATTATTAATAGTGTTAACCCGGAGCTTAGACGGTAATAACCATGCCTACGAATCAAAGGCCGTATTTCCTGCGCTCCGAAACCTGCGTGTGTAGGCCGCTAATGTCGTTAAATAAAATTCTTGGAAACCAATATTACAACAGCATCAATTTATCATAAAACCTTTTATAATGACCTCAGTCATAGTTTATAAAAATTATGTCATAAATACTTACAACCATTAGTTCTAAGAAATGATACTAATGTTCCAGCAATTGTTCTAAATTCTGCGCACTGTTTCGAAACATTAACGAATATGTTCGTTCATTTATTCATTACAGCCACAGAAATAGTAATAATAAGACAATAGAAATGAATTAGCGCTCGATTACTTCCAAAACCGATATCGCCAACTGCAGCCGTATTATAAACATACGCAATGCACAATGATATCTAATGTTTTACATTGCTTGGCGAATTAGTCAACTTCGCGTATTACGGTAGAACAAAAGTAGCAATGTTAATTGTCAATGCAAAAAGTAAGTAAAGTAAGTAATAAAGTTTACAAAGGTAAATATCATAGTAAAGTAATGATTTCTTATATTTACGCGAACACTACACATTGAAATAATACTTGTTTTTACGGAATTTATCGCGTATATTTAACTTTTTAAATACCAGACGTTTCGAACGCTTTACAGCACTCATGGTCACGAGCGGGACTGAGATGTTCAACGTCCATATGTCATAGTTAACCGCGGTTACCATAGATTAAAATTTAACTTTTGTTCCGATCTATGCAGTATGAACTTATGGTATCTTGAAGTCTTGCAGTTGTATGCTTGGGTTGGGATTTAATTTTATTTATTATAGGATCCCAAGTAGATGGTAGCACCCAGCCATCTTCTCTATTGAAATTAGGATGTTTTTTGATTTCAATAGCCTCGCGAATCATTCTTGGAAGGAATCGGTGTTCTTTAGCGAGGATTTGCGGTCTATCAAATCTGATGTAGTGACGGGGGCGATCCTGTACGTGTTCACGATTTTAATATTTTAATTTATAATAATAATATAATTTAATTTATAATAATATTTTAATTTTTTCATGATTTTAAGTAAAAAAGTTAAAAAAATGTTCGAGACTGACAAGTTATGCATATTGTTATTTGATGAAATTGCAATCTCACCACATTTTGAGTACAACAAGAAGAGAGATATTATAAAAGGATTTGTTAACAATGGCAAGAAAAACATTATGAAAATTGCAGACCATGCATTAGTGTTTAAGGTGAGGGGAGTGCAAAAGAATTACAAACAGCCTATTTATTATACATTCTGCTCTGGAAGCACACAAAAAGATGAAACCTGTACGCTCTGACAGCGCGCGACATGTTATACTCCCGTACCCTCGGGACCTTAATGGCGGGAAAATTTGTAAGTTAGAAAATTTTTTGCTATATTGCAAATTTTGCTATATTTTCACTTTGAGACAATATTTATGGATAAAACTTACAGGAATTCTTGTTGAATGTATAAACTATCGAATAAAATTATTTTTAGTTGCTAGAAATTGTAATAAAATACATAAATTACCCAGTATATACTTCAATTTTAGTGACAAAATTACTACTAATTTGAATTCTACACTTTTGTTTTTGGAGAAATTTATATGAAAATGTTTGGAAATATGTATATTTTTATGTTTTATGTGTTTCTATTAGTTACTCATACCAAAATATTAAAATATAAAAAAAAATAATAATATTTTATCTGTATGACATTTCGAACAATATTTCAAAAATATTTTTGTGTGAATTTGAAATAAATACAACGTCAAGTTATTTGAAATATGTAAGAAAACTATTTTTACTTACATTTTACACTAAAAATAAATGAGAATTTGAAAAATAACACATTTATGACCCAACCGCCAAAATGGGCCTTCCGGATTTTGAAGTACTTTTGGCAATTTACTTTTCACTTTTTATACCACAAATTACATATCTACGTGTTTACTATATTACAAGGAATATAAAAAAGTATAATACTTTCGTTTTTATTCCAGACACAAATATAAAATTCTATAAAAAAGACGGAGCACCTTCATCAAAGCGACACGTGGAACGCCGAAAGTTCAGAGTGATCTTTTTTTTTTTCTAAGAAACATTGCCAGGTTATGGTTTAAAATAAAAGAGCATATCTTTGTCTTTGATACTATTATCTATTGCATAGTGTCTTTGGTTTTGTTTAAAACGAAAAAATAGTTTAAAAAAAAGTTTTCATAGGGCAGTAATTCTGATCTAATTAGTGCTCTTTTGGAGCGGACGTAAGGTAGGTATTGTATGATCTAAAGTGCGCATCTCTTGAGGCGACAAATTAAAAATTCAAATAAAAGAAGTTATAAGAAAACTCAAATCAGTGGGTTTGAAGGTTGTAGCAACAGTATGCGATCAAGGTACCACTAACATGGGTGCAATTCATAATCTCATAGTTGTAACAAAAGCATATCATCTGAGAAAAAAATCCGATTATAATAAAAACACCTTTGAAATTGATGGTGATGAAATTGTGCCTTTGTTTGATCCTCCACACTTGATCAAAGGCATTATAAATAATCTTTTGACCAAAAACTTAACGTATGTTATTCACAATAAAAAGAAAACTGCCAATAAAGTCAATTACATAAAGAAAATCCAGCCTACCAAGGCATCAGACTTCTTCCAAAACTCACAGAATACCATGTGAACCCAAAGAAAATACCTAAAATGAAAGTGAAATGTGCTACACAAGTTTTTAGTGGATCAGTTGCTGTAAACATGGGATCTAGGTATCCCAGGTAAAAATAACAATCTTCTTTAGTTTTCTTTATGATTTTTACTTATTAAACTTTAATAAATAACTAACATATTTGTTAGATTATAAAATATCCAATCATTTGGACATAAAATCCATTATTAACTTTTTTCCAGATAAAGGAATTCTATCCAATGACTGCAAGGATACTGCCGATACATTATTATTTTTTGATGAACTCTTCGACTCATTAAATGGCAGCTATGAAAATAATAAGAAAAGATGTGGTAAATCTCTTTTAGGTCCTTTAACCCCATCATCATCTCATCAAGTAGTGTGGGATAATGCTACACCAGTTCTGAAAACCATGAAGTTTGTGTCTGAAAGCACAGGCACATCTGCTTGTGTTCCATCCATTAGGAATTGGTTACACACCATTGAAAATATCAAATATTTGAAAACAAAATTATTCAAAGAACACAATTTGAAGTCGTTATGGTTACGTCATTTTAACCAAGACCCACTTGAGAATTTTTTTGGCTCTATAAGGAACCATGGGTCAAGGAATGTCAATCCAACATCAGCAGGTTTTGAGATTGCATTTGCATCATTGTTAGTAAATAATTTAAATAACTCGCATTCACCAGGGGCCAATTGTGAGAAAGATTCCTGACAACCATTGAAGTCTTTGTACAAGTTATTTTTTCGTAAAAAAACTCAAACCAATAATGTTACAACAGAAGTAAATATTGATCATATTAATAGTCACGAGATCTTGACTGATATACATATTAAGCTAAGTAATCCTAAAATCAAAGCACAATTAGAATATATTAGTGGATATGTACTAAGAAAATTAAAAAAATCATTATTAAATTGTAAAACATGCTTATCAAATTTGTGTGAGGAAAAAAGGTCCAGTGAGTACATTAGATTAACACTTTAACAGCCGTACACGTACTGAGTACGGGCAGTGTCGATCAACTCGGGACGCCGATCACGTACTCCGTACGGGTTTGACTTTCCTATCGTCTGTTTAAAAATTACGTTCCCGGTGCGTGATTGGCGTATAACCCCGGTGTAGAATGACTCTTTAGCTACACCCACATGTATGTATCACCGACGGGAGGTGCGGGGTGGAGGCAGGACAAGCAATCTTTCAGCGCGCGTCGCCAGTGCTCCCACGCCACCAACGTGAGAGCACGTCCTTGCATTTTGGCGCGAAATGGCTTCCGCTCGACGTAGTTGGCGTCTCGATTCTAAAGAAATTTTTGATGTTTTGGTAAATGATGTTGACTCAGACATTGAGGAAGACCCGGAAATTCAAATTGAAGGTAAATTATTGTATTTTATTATTGTATTTTTATTCGAATATACCTTTTTTGCGAAGTCTAGATTTTTATTGGTGTTTTCTCTCTCCAGAGGTAATTCAAGACTTACATGAGGTGGTTTCGGTCCAAGATCATGAAAATGATGATGCTGACATGTCAGAGAACGTATCTGAACCAGAACAGGGTCGAAGTCGAGGTCGCTCGAGACCTACACTTCGAGGCAGAACGAGATCGCGCGGCGGACGCGTTCGGTCAGGGGCGCGCTCGACTACCCGCTGCAGCAGCGGCAGACATGCATCAACTTCTATCAGGGAAATGGATGAAGCTAATGGATGGTCATACGAAGCAGTGCAGCAGCCGCCGGAAAATCCAGTATTTCAAGAAATATCTCGCGTATTAGCCCCGATTGATGAAAATTCGTCACTGTTCGATTGTTTCTCAATTTTTTTTCCCGATTCTTTTTGGAAATTGCTCAAGACTGAAACAAATCGTTATGCAGCTCAAATGAAGGCTAAACAAACGCGACAAGGTATCCTGAAACCTGGCACTATGCTTTATCAATGGAAACCAGTCACGAAACAGGAACTGAAAACATTTTTTTCCGTAGTGATTCATATGACACTCGTTCAAAAAGAAAGTTTTGATTCTTACTGGTCAACTCGTGAAATAATAGAAACTTCATTCGCCAGAAAGCACATGAATAGGAACCGATTCAGAGCTATTTACAGCTGTCTTCATTTGAACGACAACTCAAATTATAAACCACGTAATGATCCAGAATACGATGCTTTTTTCAAACTCAGACCGTATTTCGATGAACTGTGTTTTTTGTGTGAGAACAGTTTTTATCCCAATGAAAACTTGACGATTGATGAGGGCACTTGTGGATTTAGGGGTCGAGTGCACTTCAGAGTTTACAATAAAGATAAGCCCGATAAATACGGTATGAAAGTCTACATGCTATGTGACGCGGAAACGGGCTACATACTACGCATGGTTCCCTATGTTGGCGACTCAAAATCTGTCGAGACTATTATCGCTGAATTGAGTGAACCATATTTTGGTAAATGGCACACCATTTATATGGATCGTTTTTTTACGAGTCCGACAATTGCGGACTTGCTTTGGCTGAAAGAAACTCGCACTGTAGGCACAGTGATGGCGAATCGTCGTGGTCTGCCACAGGTTTGGCGACAACAACCGTTGGAAAAAGCTGAAATGGCTTTTTGTCACCGCGGCAATCTAACTGCCTGTAAATGGAAAGATAAGCGTGATGTACTTATGCTCACGACGAAACACGGAGCTAGCTGGACAGAGGTGGATACAAAAGCCAAAGGTGTGGGCGTAACCAAAAAGGTGAAACCAGACTGCATCCTCGACTATAACCACTACAAAATTGGCGTAGATCTCAATGACCAATATGTATCCTATTATTCGTTGAATAGGAAAAGTATGAAATGGTGGAAAAAAATGTTTTTTAATTTAGTAGCGCGTTCTCTGGTAAACGCTTACATTTTGTACAATAAATCCAGAGAACAACGACGCCGCCTGCGATTCTCGCAGTTTCTGATGGACTCTGGGGAACAACTGGTGGAAACTGCATCAGATGCTGAAGCAGGACCCTCCCATGGTCCACATGCTGTCGGGACAAGCACGAGGCTCGTCGGTAGGCACTTCATAGAGAGGATTCCAAGCTCGGAAAAAAAGGAGAAAGTCGCACGAGTTTGCAAAGTGTGTGCCGACATTTCAAAAAAAGAAACCGGAAAAAGGGGGCGCAAAGAGACCATTTATTACTGCCCAGACTGCAATGTTCCTTTGTGCTACTATCCCTGCTTCAAAATGTTCCACACACAAAAAAATTACGTTCTTTAGTTAGCTCAAGTATGTAAGAATGTTTATGTTGGAGTTTTTTTTTTTCGCTTGTAGACCTCTTTTGTTAATTTTTTTTCATAAATATTTTTCATTATTTTTAATGTTTTTTACTTCTTCCTTTAAAATATAAAGAACAATAGTACATATAAAAGAAGAATAATATACATATCACAAATAGTTTTTATTTTATGAGTCATAGAATATCGGCAAAAATCACCGGCGTACCAGGAACGGCCACCTTTATAACGGTCGGCTGTTAAAGTGTTAAAAGATTATTCCAAAGAACAAAAGAGCTTGACACATCCATCTCAAGAATTCATCCATTTATTTTCGTCCATTCAAGATGTCGTGACTTATATTTTAAGGACTAATAGTAATTTAGATAACATTAAAAATTATTTTAAAACAATTATGTGTATAGTTTGCGAATTCAATTTCCTAACTTGTGCGATACATAAAAATGATATTATAGAAGATATATTAGATATTACTTGCAGGTTCTTTCTACATAGTTGGGCCAATAATATAAATAGAGTATTAAAAGGAGCAAGAATTGATGTTGATAAAGATGATGTAATGCAATCCCAAGCCTTTAATTATTGCTTAAAAAGAAAAAAATAAACTTTTAAACAAATAAATATATGTGGTTTTATTGAAGTTTAAATTTTTTTAATGCTAAATCTATTAAATAATGTTTTAAGCTCAATTCAGACTTTAAACATTGTGTAAATAATGAAATAAAATAAATATTAAAAAGTAAACCCATACATCCATGTTATGAAACGTAGTTATATATATATTCAATATTTTTTTAGTTCGGATACAGAACTGTAGTAGGCGCTGGAGTCGCTTTACTTAACTGCCAACTCTATTGCTGATTATTCAAAGTACTCTGTGGCTCTTGCGAAACGCACACGTTTTTTAGTTGGCCATACGCTCGAATTCAAGAACTTGCGAAAATAGTTTTCGGTTTTTTATTTGTGTGACCGGTTCTTATTATATGAGCCTTTGAAAATATACAATTTTCCCGCCAAAATGAGCGATAATCCCGGCATTCAAAAAAGCCAAAAAAAAATTGAGGAGAAGTCAAAAAAAAATGACCTTAACGAAAACCCAAAAAACAGGCGGGTAGCAATGAAGTCCCAAAAGATGCCTTCCCGTCAAATATCGACAGAAAAGGATAACCCTAACTCGCCGGATGTGATACAAGATTACGGCATGTATCCTGATATTCCTGACAATTTATTGGTAGACGTTGATACAACACCATCTGTATCGTTACTAAGGTCATCGGCTCCCACTTCAAACTTGTCAATTCAGGAAATCCCCACACTTCGTAATGAAAACGTTGCCAGTTCCCCTACGCCGCCGACACTTTCCGCTAGACATGAACCTTCACAACCTGAGGACCAGCAGCCATCTCAATAAGGAGCCACTTTGTATTGGACTTCCGATGGTACATTGAAGATCATAGATTTTACTAAAACTCAAGAGTTATTAGTTCCAGCTCCATCAAATCCATATGAAGCATTTCGGTTACTTTTGGACGATGATTATTTGGATATGATTGTGCATGAAACTAACCTCAATGCAGTAAGAGTTTTAGGACAACCTGGTTTAACCGAAAAATCCAGAATAACTCACTGGAAAGATTTAGACCGCGAAGAATTAATTATATTTTTGGGTTTACTGCTGCACACAGGTACAATTCGCCTCAACAGACAGAAGCATTGGTTATTCAATTTATCTTGTTTTAGTCAATATATGTCCCGGAACCGATTCATGCTAATCTTACGATGTCTACATTTTACATCAGAACCAAGCGATGAAGATAGGCTGGCTAAAATTCGTCCAGTTATGGACCATTTCAACAACACAATGAATGCTATTTATTATCCAGGAAAACAGCTTTCTTTGGATGACTCTATGGTGTTGTGGCGTGGTAGTCTAGTGTTTCGCTAGTTCATCAAAAATAAGAGACACAAGTATGGTGTTAAATTGTACGTTCTGGCTGAGCCTGATGGTACAGTAATAAAATTTCAGATATATGGTGGTGCAGGTGATGACACTGCCGGAGTTGGACACACTCAAAAAGTTGTTCTGAAGTTGCTGGAAGAAAAACTAGATTCTGGTCACAGTGTTTATATGGATAATTATTACAATTCGTATGATTTAGCAGTAAAACTGTTGGATCGTCAAACTTATTGTACTGGTACCCTTGGTAAAACACGAAAAGGAAATCCTATCGAACTTGGCACAGTCACATTAAAAAAAGGAGAAAACAAATCTTTATTTTTGAATAATTTTTTAATATTTGACAACGGAGCACGAAAATGAAATGATTGAAGTTACGAATAAAAGAGGACAAATTACTGAAAAACCTTCAGCAATCGTGCACTACAACAACTATATGTCAGGAGTTGATCTTCAGGATCAAATGCTGTCCTACTATCCCTGCGAGAGGAAGACTATGGTCTGGTATAAGAAGATATTTATACATAAACTCATTTTATTTATATAACAAGTTTTCTGCAACGAGTAAGATCAATTTGTATGATTACCGTCTTTCAATTTTGGAGAAGATGTTACCTAAACAAAATGTGTTAACGAAAACATTGGTCATGGAGCACAAACTAACCAAGATAGAAACGGTAAAGATACGTGAGAAAAAGGAACGAACAATAAAAGAAGTAGTGAGGAAAGAGTGTAAGGGTTGCAGAGGAAAGAAAAAAAAGAACAGCAACGCTCTTTGAATGAAAAGGTTGTCCAGACGCCCCAGGGTATTGTACTGAATGTTTTTGCGAAGCTCATTCATAAGTTTGGTATATAAGTACCCACTACTGCCATTTTAATAAGAGAACAGTAGGAGATTATTGATTTGTTTTTCCAGAGTTCTTTGGTTTATTTTTGATAGAAGCTTTTTTATTTGTTTTACGAATAAGTTTTTTTGGTTTGTTCTTTATAAAGCTATTTTTTTTTGTTTACAAATTTATTTTGCCAAAAGTTTCTTGATTTATTTTCCTAGAAGTATTTTGTTTTGGTAGTATATTTTAGTTTATCATTTGTTTTTACAAGACAATTTTGATGTGGTTTGCACTTTTATAATGTAACAAAAGGAATAAGAGAACTGTGATAAGTTTTTCGTATTAATAATCTCAATTTTTTAAATAAAACTAATAAAATAAAAAAATTGTTTTATTTTTTTTGGCCCTCAAAATGAACTGTAAGATATTATTTTAAAAATAGTAACAATTAAACCTGCACACGGCACCGTGTACACGGCCATACGCTATCCTGTACACCGACTACACGGCGCCGTGAGTTATTTATTTTTTCATGATATTCAGTCCTGAATTTTTTTTCTATCAAGGTTTTGGCTTTAGATGATCTTCAACTAGCTATATATAAAATAAAATAAAACGGCCCCCGGGTGACCTATTTATTTAAAATAGGGCTCAATTAATAAATCACTTATTTAAAAAGGCATTGAATGTGTTAAATTACACGTCCTTCACGAGTTTTTACTACTTTTTTTACTATTATGTTGCAGTTCACCACTATAATAACATAAATTCACGTACGACGTTCCCTGCGCAACTAAATCACAAAATAGTGAATTATGTTCGTCAACACATAATAGCGGCGACAAGGTCACGCGTCTATGCGACTTCTTTTGTCTGTATTACGATTTCTGTGACAGCCTCTCAAGGGCCTAAGTTCTATCAAAGTAAAAGAAATAATTATCCCGCAATTTTTATTTTACAAAAAAGGTAAAAACTGTCCCATGTGTTAATTCTGGAAATAATCAATCAGTGTGCCAAATTTTATACTAGTTAGGCATTTATATGTGCGCAACAAACATTTAAATGTTTCACAAAATAACATCAGTAACGATATTTGAACAAGCCAACGGAAATTAAAACGACGATAAATAATTTTTGTCTATAACGTCGATGTAAAACTACAAAATTACATATTTAAATATTTACTCAAATTTAGTTTTACTATTTGCTTTATATGACTAATTTATTAACCCCTCAGTCCCCTTAAAATTCCACGCAGTAGCATGCGTCCAATAAATCCCGAGCCGTAGCATGCGACCGCACCCACTCACAGCTCGTTAAACCTTTAAAACTTATATTTAGAGACTACTTTTCTATGCTAAAAGTTTGGCATTATAAAATGTATACAAAATTCTTTATATAAAAGTCAGGTTTTACTTAATTACAAAAAGACGAATGTCGGCAGCGTGAAAATCACAATTATTTCAATATATATTACTCGAAATTATTAACGTAAAAAGATTAATTATATTCACACAAAAATTTAATTACAATTTTATAATAAAATGCTATACTAAAACACAAATAAAATACTAGAAAAATCCAAAAATCAACACAATAACATTCACGCGAAAATGGCGTCCGAAATGACGTAGATTATGAATATATATCCATAGTATAACTGTTTTTATTGCACTAGAGTATAGAAAATTTCATATTAATTCTATAATGTCAAACTTCTTCATAGAAAAGTAGTCTCTAAATATAAGTTTTAATGATTTAAAGTGTGCGCGGTCGAATCCGACCGCTTGAATTTTGGCGGAATAGCGCCGCGGTCGAATTCGACCGCTTAGAGATTGAAGGGTTACGAAACAACATGTAGTTTTTACAAAGCCAATTTATAATAAGTCTTTTACATATCACCTTATACAATAATACCTATAATATTGAATTTATACCAGGGCCCTATCATATAAAGGTCACAATCCAACAAATTTCTAAAGTGACTTTATTGTCGAACTGTACAGTAAATTTAATAAAGCCACACAATTATTTAAAAAAAAACATAAATATAAAAATGTTACACTATTTATATATTTTTAAATGTTGATCTGCACTGGGATTTCCTCCTGTATCGTGAAAGCAGTTTTGCGTATACAAAAATTTCTGCTAAATATTTGATAATCAAACTTTTGAAAAAGCCTACTATTTTTTGATAACAGTTTTATTTCACAAATATATGTTTATTAAAAATAAAGAACAATCGCTAATTCACCTATTGTAATTGTATTTAATTCTGCAGTAATTCCTTCATTTATTACAGCCAATAAAAGTTCACTACTGAATTTTGGTCTCCCCATATTTAAATTGACTTAATATGGGATATTTGTCATCGTTGGCAACCGCAGTATTTTTGTGTTATTAGGAAGACTCTGCTACTTATCTAGTGTTTCCCCCTTCGTCATCTCTCACGACACCCACGGGACGATATGGGGTAGTGGATATTTTACAATATAAACTTGCAACTATAATTTGGCATTTAATAAACCAGTTTTACTGAGATTTTTTTTAAATTATTGCCTGCATAGTGATTGTATTGTAGTACATTTATTGAACAGAAATATGTAAAATTGTAGCTAGAATTTTAGTAATATCATATATATTTTAATTTTTATTAGATAGGGCTCAGGTCTTATGCATTTTGTATTAGGGAATAACATATGATTCATCAACATAAAATGATATTTACTAAAGGCAGTAAATCATTACGTCCAAAAATTTATCCTTATAACTAGTTTATATTTCGATAAATGTATAAAATTTTTAGCATATTACATGATTAATAATCACTTACCACCTGGAATAGGATAGAAAATAGCGTCGCCTCTATTCACCTCTCGCACGCATACTATCGCTATCTATACTACATTCTATATATATCTATATTACAAGCACACGCCGATAAAGACTGCAAAAACATACGTTGCGATATGCGTTTTTCGTACGTTCTATAACCTCAGTCCAACTTGTCATTGGTAACAATGATGATAACTATAAAAATAAATTCAGTCCGGTTTTGCTGATTTGTGAGCTACGACGCGTTCTGAGAGTTTTCTTCTTAATGATTGCTGATTTTGATAGTTAATATTTTTGTATAAAATATTTATATGCTATTGTGTAATGCCATAAGTGAATTAGGCTAAACTTTATTCGAAAAATTTAGAGACTATTAAAATAAAAATATTGATAAGATAAAATAAATCTTTAATGATTATCTTTAAAAAAATTTATGGGAAAAGGGTCAGAGCAGGACTGTAAAAACTATCGTGGTGTCAGCCTTCTTAGCATTGTGGGAAAACTGTATGCTAAGGTACTAATTGAAAGAGTCATGAAAGAAACTGATGAAAAAATTTGGGATGTGCAAGGCAAGTGCAAGGGATTTAGAAAGGGAATGGGGTGTACAGATCAAGTCTTTTCCATGCGCATGATCGCGAAAAAGTTTTTGGCGAAAAACCAAAAAGTTTTTTGTGCGTTCATGGACTTGGAAAAAGGCTTATGACAGAGTGGACAGGGATGTGTTATGGCAAACGCTGAACGCATTTAGGTTGAGCGCTGGTTTGATACAGGCATTAAAGTCTTGTATAG